CCACTAGAGAGGGAATGTAATGTGTTGTCATTGGGATAGAGAGTGTGAGAAGTTGTGTTGGTGGCCCCCACTAGAGAGTGAATGTAACGTGTAGTAATTGGGATAGAGAGTGTGAGAAGTTGTGTTGGTGGCCCCCACTAGAGAGGGAATGTAATGTGTTGTCATTGGGATAGAGAGTGTGAGAAGTTGTGTTGGTGGCCCCCACTAGAGAGTGAATGTAACGTGTAGTTATTGGGATAGAGAGTGTGAGAAGTTTCGCTTATTATCCCCACCAGGGGGGAATATAACGTTTCGGTAATCATGGAGGAGAGAATAGGAGGGCACTGTGGTGACCCCACTATGGACACAGGCACTTGAAACGTTTCAATAAAATATAATGCTAAATAAATACGAAATATATTTAATACCAAAGTCTTAATGTTTCTATACTCTCTTTCACCTATTAATATTATTGCCGACAATTTCCTGTAAATGCCATCCAAATGCTCATCTACAACAAACACTGACTGCCGCCAAGCGCCATTGCTTCCGCTGCAGTGCAGCACACTAACACGTGCATGCATGCGTGTATATATATAAGTGTCAGTGTGCAGCACTGCAGCGACAGCAATGGCGCTTGGCGGCAGCCAGTGTTTGTTGTAGATGAGCATTTGGATGGCATTTACAGGAAATTGTCGACAATAATATTAATACTAAATAATAGGTGAAAGAGAGTATAGAAACATTAAGACTTTGGTAGTAAATAGATTTCGTATTTATTTAGCATTATATTTTATTGAAACGTTTTAAAGTGCCTGTGACTACGGCTGTGAGCAAAATCATTTCGTGTTTCTGATGAAAAAACTAATCGTATTGTGAAGGTTACTTCTGCCATCATCATATTGCACTTTAGCGCACATGGGGATGGAGTGTTACACGAATCGCACATAATAGTCACAACAATGACTGTCGCCTAAGAGCATTGATGCGCGAATTGTTTGTTACGCTGTGCTGACAGCAGTGCTGCTGCTGCTGCTGCTGCTGCTGCTGCTGCTGCTGCTGCCATGTATTGTTGACTAATGCGTTTTTTCTGACGCTGTCGCCAAAGCGTATTAGTTTGTTGTCATTGTCAAGGCAGACGCATTTCCTTTCCGTGGTTTAATGCATTATATATTAGGTGCGCATTGATGCGCGGCATTCGCGTGATTGTATTATAGAGAGGTGGCATGGGCCAGTGATTTTTCTGTGTACTTTTCTGTGGCTAGCATCTAGCATATATGCGCTAGCTTTATTATTCGTTTCTGTTGCAGTGCCGGATCAGGTGGCCAACTTCACGTTTTTAGACATCCATGATACACGTGTTTCTGTTTGGTGGTCGCCTCCTGTGAATGCTAACGGAATTCTAACGGGTGTGTATTACTTGGTAGGGGTTCTACATCGAATCTCAGACCATCTGTGCTGTGCACACTTATTTAGATACGTGTACGGGATGGAAATTGTGGTATGGTGTACTTTCAATATGTCAATGTTTGCCTCCTGCCTTACATAAAGGCACATTCTTATGTATTTGCTAACACGACTATAATATAATGTAATGTAGCGTAGGCCTATTGTAATATATATGGTTCCTGTTTGTAAATACATTTGTCAGTTTGTTTGTTTGTTTGTTTGTTTGTTGTTTGTTTGTCAAGGAATGGTGTGTGTAAATGTCAATGTCTATATATAATAATAATATGAATATATATATATTAAGCAATCATCTGTTTAATTGCAGGCTATAAACTGAAGTATCAGCAGAATGATAATGTGGCAACGGAGAACGTCTTGTCATTAGAACCGGAGGTACACAACCAAACAGTAACCGGCCTTGTCCCCAGCACCGAATACCTGTTCAGCATTGCAGCAAGCACCAGTCAAGGCCTCGGTGCTGTGACCACGGCCACCATTAAGTCAGGTACAGAAATCAAGCATCATGGCACACTGAGAATTCTGGTGGCGGTGCTACAAACTGCAGTTGAAGAGCGTGTTGTAAATTTAAATTTCACCACCGTGAAACTGTACGGACGACAAGCGGTTCCATACCATCAAAACACAGGAAATCTGTGGACTACCTGTATTGCTGCCAATTGTTAATATTATATAGAACCGTTAATTTTGTTTTCTAGGAAAATCCTAGTTGTGTTTGACCCAAGCACATGTGCCAACTACTCGTTATGTTATGCGGGATTGTCATGACTATCTTCATGATGTTCTGCTGTTTTCGTAGGTGTTCCACCGGAGCTTCCAGGCCCTCCAACAGGACTGCTGGTAAGCAACGTGATGGCGAGATTGGCCACTCTGTCGTTTACACCCGGCTATGATGGCAAGACCTCCATCTCTCTGTGGATTGTTCAGGCAAGGGTAAGTGCACCTACGTCGTATATCTTCACGTAAGACTTCATCGTCTGCTTTCCTTCGTGGAATTGTCTTTCCTGGTTTAGTTGGTAAGCATGAAGACCAGATGTGCATAAAGGTTGAAGGATTAATCGTATTCGAGCGACAGGTGGATTTTGCATCACTACTTAAGTTTTTTCACCAGATTGTTCCATTTTAAAAGCTGCTGGGCCCACAAAGTTTTTCGTTTAATTCGAACAAATTTTTCCAAATTGGGGATCATCTTCTCACAGCAGGCAGTGCTGTTAGACCTATCACTCTTATTTTTCCTGTGTAAATCCTGCCAACCAAGAGGTGGTGCCGCATGCCTGGACATATATATATATATATATATATATACACTCACACATATATGTATATATTTATTTATTTATTTATGTTACGCATCTATTTCATTAATGAATCCCCCCCCCCTGCAGGATAAAAGCAGTGGGGAGTGGGGGACGATCCACGAGGAGAGCAGTCCCGAGGCGACGGCGCTATCTGTCATCAACCTGCGTCCGTACACCAACTACACGCTGCGTCTCATCGCCAGCAACGTCATCGGCGAGAGCGCTCCCAGCGACCCCACGCAGCTGTTCCTGACGATGCAGGCTCGGCCGGCGACGGCGCCTAGTGACATCGCTGCACGCACGGTCGATGCCAACTCCATCACTGTCCACTGGGTGGTGAGTTAATTTATTGTTGCTTATGCACTTTTTACTCTGCATAGCAGTGATCACTGTCTACTGGGTGGTGAAATTATTTATTGTGTTTTACTTACCTCCTGTTTAGCTCCTGTTACCTCTTGTTTAGCTGCAATCACTGTTCATTGGGTGGTGAGTGGAAATTGTTTTCTAGCTCGGTTTTTACCCATACTAGTGACAATGGTGCTCTCTTCACTCAGTTAAATGAGGTGTCAAGTATTCTAGATTGCACCTTTCTAACGACTGCCAGTCCCACCAACCCTAATTGGATCATATATCCTCTAATTACACCTCCATTGCACACTTCTACAGCAGGCAGTGTTGCCAGAGTGATTTTTTCCATCTTTTTCCTACGTAAAAACTACCAAGAACCTGTCTAGGTGGCACACACACATCGCCACACGAGCACCAACAGTAGACGCCGCTTCTTTAAACGTTCCCTTGTCTTCACAGCCACTCGCCGATGACGAGTGGAACGGGATCCCGCGCGGCTACAGCATCCAATACGAGGCGACGAGCGACGACGGCGGGCCGCCGCGTCCGCCATTGCACATGCGTGCGCCGGACGCGTACGCTAACAGCGTCGTGCTGTCACAGCTGCGCGCGTTCACCGAGTACAAGATTGCAGTCACGTCCTACAATGACGTAGGCAGCAGTCCGTCGAGCAGCACCGTACTCAGCAAGTCGAAGGAATCGGGTGAGTGCGCCGACGACACACGACGTCACGTTACATCACGTCGCGCCGTGCGTGTGTAATTCGCATCACTCTTTGTAATCCACGAAGGTTATTTTTGTCTTCTATAATATCGTGCCATAATAGTGTCATAATATAGATTCGAGAGATAGAGAGTCTATTTTATGATGTGAATAATAATATTATTCTAAGTCTATTTATTCTAAGTATTATTATATTTCTTATAAGTCTATTATTATTCACTCCTGATATTGTGAAAGGATAAAGATGCATGTTTATTGTCTTACTCCTAAGAATATGGTTGTGCTGTAGAAACTCTAGAAGTGTACCCACGTTCTTGTATTTCTTTCAATCTTCATTTCATCTACTGTAAATTTTTTGCATAGATGGTTCTTGCATTTAATTTTGGTAGTTGTGCAGTGAGTAACGGGGGATTCTTTGTTGCAGTGCCGACAGCAGGAGCAGCGTACGTGAGTGCTACTGCTACTGGAGCCCAGACTATATTCGCAGATTGGCAAGACGTTCCCAAGGCGCAGCAGAATGGAATCATCCTGGGCTACAAGGTTCATATACTCGCAAAATGACGGTTGAGGTTTTCACTGTTCAAACACTGATATTTGTGAATGCATGATTGATACCGAATATCTGTTCATAGTCTTGTCTGTAGACACAGTGATATAAATGCATAATAAGCTACTATGCATTTACGTTAAATTTCACGATAGACTAGGTTTGAAAAGATAAATTTTTGTCCCTACTTAGGGATGCAAGTGAACAAGAAAGAAGTACAGAAGCTGACACAAACATATTGCAATAGTATCTGACTTATAGAGTGCAGATGTAATCATTAAAAATTAAATAGTTATACAATACAATATAAATTTATATAAAAAGTTTTCTAAATAAATATTTTCTAAATACTGTGGTAAAATATTAATAAGCATATATTATATATATATATAATTATATATATATAATATATAGTATATATATAAACAAAGTCAAGGGTATTAAGAATAAGGGTGTTTAAAGTTCTAATTAGAAGCATTCGAATTACATGCTCTTCATCAGGTTCAGCAGACATTGAGAAAATAATTAAAACAATACAATGCGTTATAGATAATCAAAATGAATTACACAATTCGCGCGGTGCCATGAATGAATACGTGACGGACAAAAGAACACGACATATATATAGACCACGCAAAAAACACACACACACACACAAACAACACAACATACACACCTCACACCATCCACACACCACACACGACACACCCCACCCAACCCCGCCAAAAAACAGCACAAACACAGAAAAACACACACACACACACAACGAAGCAAATGGACTCAAAAAATCACGCGTAATTCACTGCCCCTGGATTCAACACAACCAACCCTGAGAATTTATTTTGCTCCGTCATGTAGTCGACGTGAGGTAAATTGTAATATGGTGTCCGTTGGCAGAAACACAAACACGCACGTACAACAATGTGTGACCGGTGGTTTAAATGGTCAGCTAACCTGGAAAACCATGCAAATTGAGCGAACAGTTCTGAGTGTGTTCAATCAAACGCTACTCCGCAAGGCGGCGTTTTGTTTCACCATATATAGTAAATTTCGGTGCATTTAACGCATTCAATGGCGTAAATGATAGGTTCGTCGACATTGCAATGTAAATGAATCCCGCATCTATACAATTTGCCGTAGGCTCCTTGAACCCACAGACCTTATTCGTGATAAAATTTGCAAGACTGCAACGTTTCGAACAACACGGGGTAAGAAAGCTAGATTGCTCACAGGGCTGTCCGAGTTGTAAAGCGGTTGCTTGAAACAAGACAGTGTCGCGGAGGTTGGTATCACGTCGTACGAGATGAAAGGTGGTTTGAAAAAGATGTTAACTGTGATTGGATCGTTTTGAAGAAATTTTATAATTATCAATAGACCAAACTTTTGATGTTGCAGAATTGAAGGGTTGATAGGTTAAAAACCAATAGACATCATGTCTGACCGTTTTATTCACGCCGTTTTTATCTAGCGTTAATTAACGAGCCGCAATTTAAGGAAGTATTTTTTTTAATTTCTTAGTAGTAGATCAGATATGATTATAGCCAACGGCGTGCTAAAACCATTCAATCATATTGGAGCTTTGTGTTCAGGGGCCTCTAGGCAAATTTATGTGCGGGATTCATTTACATGCAGTGTCGAGAACCATCATGTTACGCCATTCGAATGCGTTAAAGCCAAAAATTTACTATATTGGCGAAACAAAAACGCCGCCTCTTGCGGATAGGTTATGTTGAACACCTAAGATCTATGTTGCCCAATTTTGCCATGGGTTTTCGCGGTTTGCTGACCATTTTACCAAACCGCAATCACCACATTGATACGTGCGTGTTTTGTGGCTGCCAACTGATCATCCATATTACAATTACCTTCACGTCGACACATGACTGAGCATAGAATAAATTCTGAGGGTTGCGTTGTTTGATCCAGGGCATGAACGTAAACTCTTAATTATGTGTGATTTTTGAGTCCATTGCTTCTGTTGGTGTCCGTTGCGTGCGTGCGGTGGCGTTGGCTTGTGTGTGTGTGTGTTGTGCGGATGTGTGTGTGTGTGTCTGTGTGTGTGTTTGTGCATGTGTTTATATATGTGCCGTGTTTTTTGTCGTCCGTTCTTTCTATCGTCGTGAAAATTTTTGAGTCGCATTGCTTCGGTGTGTGTGTGTGTTGGTGTGTGTGTGTCGTGTGTGTGTAGCATGTGTGTGGGTGTGTGTGTGTGTGTGTTGTGGTGTGTGTGTGTGTGTGTCGTGTGTGTGGTTGTGATTGTGTGCTGTGTGCTGTTGTGTGCACCGTGTGGTGTGTATGTTGTGCTGTATGTGTGTGTGTGTTTGTGTGTGTGTGTGTGTGTTTTTGTTTTGCTGTCGTTGTGTATTATATGATTGTGTGTGTTTCTTTTGTCGTCCGTATTCATTCATGCAACGCTGCGATTGTGTGACTCATTCATTTTGATTATTCTATAACGCGAGTTGTAATTGGTTTTTGATTAATTTGATTCTATTCACAATGTCTGCTTGACCTGATGAAGAGGATGTAATTCGAAGCTTGTCAATTAAAACTTTAAAAAAACACCCTTATTCATATACCTTAACTTTGTTTTTATCTACACGGAGTGTTCGTGTATGTACTTAACTAGTACTTATTATATATATATATATATATATATATATATAACAAGATTATTATACAAATATGTGAAAAAATAAGGAAATGACATGATGTGTGTGTTGTGTGACGTAGGTGATGTACGGAGGCTCGGATGTTGCGTTCACTCTGCTTGACGTCAACGACACACGTACCGTCATGCTGACCGGTCTGCGCAGCTTTGTCAACTACAGCGTGCAGGTGCTCGGCTACACGCGCATGGGCGATGGAGTGCTCAGCGACCCTGTCTATAATCAGACGAAGGAAGATGGTGCGTGAGCTGTCAGAGTCTATCCTCTTCCCCCTCTCCAACCCTGATCGCTCTTCCTTTTCGGCTTTCTCTCTCTATCTCTCTCTCTCTCGCTTTCTCTCTCGCACTCTTCCTATCTCTCTGCCTCTTGATCTCCCTCTCCACATTCCATTTCCTTTTCTCTATTTCTCCCTCTCTTCCTCTACTTTTTTCCTATTTTCCCTTACTTTTCCTCTATTTCACTCTACTTTTTATCTTGCTATTCTCACACACATGAGAACACACACATGGAAACATGCATTTCCTTATTCCTGTGCACTTCCTTAAACTCTGAATCTCACTTCTTGAATAACAAGCTATTTAACTCACGTTCACAATAATCTTAATTCACCCACTTATCTGTATTAGCCATGTGTTAGCTGTGCTGCTGCATCAAGTTACATCAGTTATTGCCCATGCCTTGCAGTGCCAGGGCCACCGACTAGCGTCTTCTTCCCTGAAGTGTCTTACACGACAGCGATGGTGAATTGGGACACCCCGGATGAACCGAATGGCATCATTACAAACTACAAGATCCAGTATTGGCTGGAAGACACTGATTCGTCGTCAGGCTACCCTCCCGTCGAGCTGAATGAAAATGGTGTGTTATTCGAATCCCCATCTGTGTGTTCTCTAAGTTCGAATTTAGAAGGTCGGGGGCATGTGCAATGATGTATGTAGTTATTAATTGTACAAATTGCCGTTAAGTCGAATTATCGTGAGCAATTATCGGTACAGACATCGTACACACGGCTCACTTCTCAGTATTTCTATAATATTTACTTTGTTCTATCAATTCAGGGCATTCATACACAACACAACCTCCAGGAGGAGAAATACTATGTGTTCGTAGTCTGTTATCTACAGTACCTTGATGTATCGCTACAGAGCTTCCATACTACAGCGTGATCATCTATTACGTACGTCTTATTCTCACGTGTTTCATTCTATCACTACAGAGCATTCGTACACGGCACACAACCTCCAGCGGGAGAAGTACTATGTGTTCAGCATCACGGCTAAGACGCGCGCAGGCTGGGGCCAGAGCGCCACCGTACGCGTTTACACAATCCCAAACCGCGACAAGCCCGGCGCTCCGTCGAAGCCCACGATCAGTGCGTCCCAGATCCTAGCACGCAGCGTCACCATGTCGTGGCAGCCCGGCAGTGACAACTACAGCCCCGTCAGGTGAGTTACTCATCTCATCTGTCCTACAGCTCCGTAAAATGAAAGTAACGGTAAATGTAAATGGTAAATCTCTGAGTTAATAGTTAAAACACGAGTTTAGCATCTTTTGAATGTTTGATGTTTCGAAGCAATGAGATTAATCGTTCTGAATATACATGCGTATTTTCCGTGCCCATGTTTGTGAACGGATCACTTTTATTTGTTGTAAATTTTTTTCTGTTGCTTTTGTTGGTAGGTACTACACTGTGCAGATGAGGGAGGGAGACAACCTTGCATGGAAAACACACCCTGAGAGCATATCTCCAGATCTGACTTTTTATACCATCACAGAGTGAGTGTCGCATACTAAAACAGCCAACGTTGCTAATTATTTTAGTGTGCATCAGTATTATATACATGGGTTCATGACATTCATTCATGAATTCTATGAAAATGTTTGAAATGATAATATCAAATGTTCTTACACATACTTTTGTGTTTGCAGTTTGACACCGTATACAAAATACTCGTTCAGGCTTCAGGCGACGAATGACAAAGGTGCGAGTGAATGGAGTACCCCATCTGACACTGTTGTCACTGAGCAAGATGGTAAGCGTCGGTCAGAGCTTCACAGAGAAAGCTTTTGTCATTTACAATAGTTATAATAAATCCTAAATCTAATAAAATCTCTCTCTGTAACCTGAAAATAGACCCATCTGTTCATAACAGTAATCTGCATACCCAAATGTCTTAATTTGCAAAATGTGCACCAAAAGGTGGAGCCACTGTGTAATTCACGTGTACTTATTGCGTATTGTCGCGTGCATTTCTTTCAGCGCCAGACGAACCCCCGAAACAGTTACAGGTACTGCCCTACACAGAGACGTCTGTCAGAATCACATGGGTGGCACCAGCCGACCACTCGTGGAATGGGAACAAGGAGGGGTACCTGCTTGAACATCGGCAGTATCCAAGCGTTTCGGATTTCATGGAGACGAAGGTTCCAAATCCGCAAGCCAGCAATTACACCTTGGAGCATCTGGTGAGCATGACCTGTCGTCGCGCTTGTTTAGTTTCACTTTCAGTAAACACCAGCGTTTGAGATTATACTCGCTTTAATGTTCGCACATTGTGAGCAAATTTTTTCAAGTAAATTAAACGCATCATAGTTCCGGTGACAGTTGACGTGATTGATTGTACGGTGCGAGTTCTCGACGTCTATTTCGGCTTCTGTCCTCTCTGCAGCTGGGAGACCGTGAATATGAGGTTCGCATCAAGGCTTATAACAGGATAGGACAGAGTCCTCCGTCTGCCCCAGAGACCGTCTACGTCGGAGAAGCAGGTAGAGTACGCCCATTTCCTGCAGCAGGCAGTCGGTGCGAGTTATGGTGTTATGACAGAGTCTAACAGAATCAAACAGGTGTATGAACATGTTAGAACATTGCGTAATGAATATTATAGAATATTGAATGAATATTCTAGAACATTGAATGACTGAATATGGCTGCACGTAAACATACTTGAACAGAGAGAATGAAATGCATTGCAGTCCAGATCATGACTATACAATGCAATGTAATTAGTATAACATAATAATATATAAAATAATAATATAATAAAATGCAATAAGTATGAGATGCCACGGTATTCTCTAATGGGTTTGTATACCGAGTCTTACAGATGGCAGTGGTACGGTGATAGAACAACGTGTGGTCTATGCTTGCTTGCAGTTCCCATGGAATCCCCCCAGGCTGTCTCTGCAGAAATGGTGAATTCCACCAGCATCTTCGCGACCTGGCTCCCACCTCCAGAGCAGACGAGAAATGGCGACATCCTCGGTTACAAGGTAACCGTACTCATGTTGTCATCTACATAGTCTCCTCTTCCAGTAGTTGCACTTCAGCAGGAGTCTATTTTGTTAGCTCACCTTGACATCGTCAAGCTGTCTGTGGTGTACCATAAAAATATATATATACCATAAAAACGTTAAATGGCGATCATTTAGGTGTAACGCCATCACTCGCCCACATCTCAGACTTTCACATCTCAAACATAGCGGCGTTTTGTTTCACCAATATAGTAAATTTGGCATTTAACGCATTCAATGGCGTAAATGAGGTTCGTCGACACGCATGTAAATGAATCCCGCACTATAAATTTGCCCCGAGGCCCTTGAACCACAGACCTATTCGTGATAAAATTGCAAGTACTGCAACGTTTCCGACAACACGGGTAAGAGCTAGATTGTCTCACAGGGTTGTCAGAGTTGTAAACGGTGCTTGAAACAAGAGTGTCGCGGAGGTTGGTATCACGTCTGTACAAGCATAAAGGTGGGTTTGAAAAGATGTTAACTGTGATTGGATCGTTTTGAAGAATTTTATAATTATCAATTAACAAACTTTTGATGTGCAGAATTGAAGGGTGATAGGTTAAAACCAATGGACATCTGTCTGACGTTTTATTCACGCCGTCTTTTCTAGGGGTTATTAACGACGCCCGATTTAAGGGAAGTATTTTTTTTAATTTCTTAGATAGATCAGATTGATTATAGCCACGGCGTGTAAAACATTCAATCATATTGGAACAGGGTTCGTAGCGGGTCTTCCAAAGTCTTATAAGTACTTATTTTGCCAAAAATAAGATAAGGGCCCTTATTAGTACTTATTTTTGGTGAAATCTTAGAAAAGTACTTAATAGTCCTTATTTTTTGCTAAAGGACCATTTTTCAACATTTTCTGTGTTGAATTTCGGCGAAACGGCTTTATATAAATATTATTAGCGTACTTTAATAGTCGGTGATCTATCAGAAATCGCCTAAAAAAGTCTTATTTTGGCCTCCAGAAAGAGTCTTATAAGTCCTTATATCAACATGTGTCTTACTACTATGAACCCTGTGGAAGCTTTTGTGTTCAAGGGCCTCGGGGCAAATTTATAGTGCGGGATTCATTTACATGCGTGTCGACGAACCTCATTTACGCCATTGAATGCGTTAAATGCCAAATTTACTATATTGGCGAAACAAAACGCCGCCTTGCGGATAGGTTTGTTGAACACCTAAGATCTATTTGCCTCAATTTGCATGGTTTTCCGGTTGCTGACCATTTTAACCAACCGGATCACCACATTGATGACGTGCGTGTTTGTGGCTGCCAACTGACACCATATTACAATACCTCACGTCGACACATGACTGAGCAGAAATTAATTCTGAGGGTTGGTTGTTTGAATCCAGGAGGCATGAACGTAAACTTTAATTACGTGTGATTTTTGAGTCCATTGCTTCGTTGTGTGTGTGTGTGCGTGCGTGCATGCGTGCGTGTGTGCGTGCGTGCGTGAGTGCGTGCGTGCTTGTGTGTGTGTGTGTGTGTGTCTGTGTGTGTGTTTTGTGCATGTGTTTATATATGTGCGTGTTCTTTTGTCGTCCGTATTCATGGCAACGCGCGAATTGTGTGACTCATTCATTTTTGATTATCTATAACGCATTGTATTTGTTTTTGATTACTTGATTCCATTCCAATGTCTGCTGACCTGATGAAGAGACTGTAATCTCGAAAGCGTCGTCCCAGTTAAACTGTTAACACCCCTTTATTATATACCTTGACTTGTTTTATCTAACAACGGTGTTTCGTGTGTGACTTTACTTATATATATAAACCTCCGAGTTAAGCCTATAACTCGAGTTAATGTACTCGAGTTAGCGATTATGTAAGCGTCCCTACAACTGACATACACCCGATAGCGATTATTTACCGATTTATTATGCCCGTGCGTGCGTGGTAATGTAAACGTGCGTGCGTGGTGTCGGTGCGTGCGCGTCGCACGTGCCGGTTGCATGCGTTGGAGTTTGCAATGCGTTGCGGCGTGCACTGTGCACGTACAGTGCGTGGCGTCGGTGCGTGTGTACCTACACGTTGCGTGCATTCGTGCTGTCAAGTACACGTGCGTGCATGTTGAGTGTGTTGCGTGCGTGTACACTGCGTGTAAATCACGCCGTGCGTGCGTGCGTGGCGTGCGTGCGTGTGTCGCGCGGTGTGCAATGTGCACGTAAGACGTTGGCGTGTGTGCGTGCGTGCGTGCCGTGGTGTTACTAACACGTGCGTCGTGCGTGCGTGTCATCGTACACTGTGCGTGGCAATGCCCGTGCGTGTGTTTACCTACACGTGCCCGTGCATGCGGCCGTGTGCACGTACACGTGCGTGCATGCGGTGCGTGGTTGTACATACACGGCCGTGCAGCCGTGCGTGTGCAACGTTACACGCGTGCATATGCGTGCGTGGGCGTCGCTGCGTGGTGCCATGTACACGTGCGTGCGTGCGTGCGTGCGTGCGTGCCGTGCGGTGTCCCGCGCGCTGTGCAGGTAACACGTCCGTTGCGTACGTGCGGTGGTGTGCAGTACAACGCGTGCGTGCGTCATGCTGTGCGACGTTAGACGGTGCGTCGTGCGTGTGCCACGTACAACGTGCGGCCATGCGTGCGTGTGCACGTACACGTGCGTGGCGAATGAGTGTGGAGTGCCGTCTGTTTACGTAACATCGTCACTATGTGCCTGCCCCCTACGTGGAGGTTAAAGCTTAACTTCGAGGTAAAGCGTCCTACACTGGCCCCTTAACTTCGAGTTAAAGTGTAACTCGAGGTTAGCCTTAACCCGGATCGACTGGCGATTTAAAGCTAACCTCGAGTCAACCGCCTAATCCCGGAGTTACCTTGTAAAGGTATGATCCCTTACACAACCGGTTTCGTACTCGTAGGTGACGGTAATACCCCTTTAACAAAACCTGTATATCTCCGAGTTAAGTGCCCCCGTGGTAGACCTTTAACGATCGAGTTAAGGTTCGGTCGTGTAGACATAGCTTAGTATAATTATAATATATATATATATATATAATATTATATATAGTATATAGTAACTGTGCCTAAAGCCCCCGCCGCACGACCGGTTGTAGTTATGTGTTATATAATAGAACAATGTTTTGTCAAAACATTAGAATATATACAAACACATCTGTTGTAAAATATCTATGGTCAAAACCAGAAACAATAAAATATAATAATCGGATAATGTTTTACATTGTTTACTATATATGTATATTGGAATAAATCTGCGAAATTCCCTCCTGTTACCAATGAACAGAGATAGGGCGCGGACACGTTCGGCCGACACTGTCGCCCAAAGGAAATGACTTAGGGGCCGACCGTAAGCATGTAAATTAAAAGGGCGGCATGTCCCTAGAAAGAAGGTGCGCATCGCAAAAGTTGGCAACCTTGCAAGTCAATGTGGTGCACCTGCTCTTGTGTGAAGTCCTTTAGAATTTGCTATACTAAGTACCAGGTAGAGCGGCGGTAAAAACGTCCGGCGACCAACAGGCACTGTTAATTGGGACAGAGTCAGTAAAAAACTGAGAATAAATAACCACATTTACAAATCGGTGACCCGCCTGTTACAGTTTCCCCCACAACTGATTTGCGACCGTATATCATCGTTTTCCCTTCAAATAAAACCCTAACAGTAAAAACTAACGCCGAACGCTTCCCCGCACTCGCCGCCTTGCGTGAGTGTGCTGTGACGCTATGATAAATAGAGATTATATATATAATATAAAATAATAAATATCCTATATAATATATATTATAATATATAAATATATATAAATATAATATATATACTATAATATAATAATAATAAATTATAATAAATTATATATATTATAATATAAATATAAATATCTATATACCTATAAATAATATATAACCTATTATATTACCTATAATTTAATTACCTATAATTATATAATAATATATATCCCTAATTATATATATTATCATAGCGCACAGCACACTCGCCGCGGCCCAGGACTATTGATATAACTGTATATAATACTTATAACTATATACTTATATAGTATAAGCATATATAGTTTATATAAGCCTCTTGGCCGCGCGAGTGCGGGAGGCGCAGTTTCGGCGTTAGTGTTTTTACATAGGGTTTATGAAGGAAAGTCTGATATAACAAGTGTCCGCAAAGTGGAAACTGTAAACAGAGGGTATCGGTAGTAAGCCTATTTGTGAATGTGTGGTTCCATATTATTTTCAAAGTTTTTACTGACCCCTGTCCCAAGTGTCCTGTGCGGCGACGCCTGCTCGTCCAAAATAAATGTCGTACTACTGCCTAAATTATACTACTCCTAGTCCCCTCCTCGATAGAAATTCCCCGGGAATTGGATAGAAGACAATCCATTACTCCTGCCAGCAATGCCATCAACGTGAGGCTATCTCTTAACCCAGACGACCGCAGGCTAGCGAGCAACGATGCAGCCTTTTATAACCTTTCATGAATATATTATATTATGTTAAACCATGTATTTTGATTAAGAAAACGACATTTTTTAGTTTCTGAAACGTGGTCCGATAAGATGGCGTTTTAAAAATGGTCGCCATTTTTATTTTTCAAAAGTAAAAATGTCTTTGTGAGTAAAATAGGTTCCAAAGGACTGTAAAGGAGAATATAAATGTGTTTTGCTTGTAAGTTTATGAATCGGTAATTTTAATTTGGAACCATTAGATTGGATTTCACTAACAATTAAATAAGTAAAAGTATCATAATTAAAAGTTAAATCTCGTTCTAATTCGGCTATACCGCTCCATTATCCCCTAGAGTGTTCCCAACTTTGGTTTGAATATCATTATTAAAGCCCCGCACAATGCCTCGCAATCCAAACGCTAAAATTTCTCCAGTACTTAGACGACTAGCAAATACTTCATGTCCATGCATAATCCCACACTACCCTATGACAAAAATAACTCTAGTTCCCTCATAGGTATGTCCCCCAGGGCCAGGTCTGCCGGATACGTACCCTGGGTAACGGTCCGGTAACCGGA